CTAATTCTTTACCGTTTCCGACATTCATTATGTACCAACTTCCTTAATTTCATGCATTACACAATTACTATTATGAAAGCAACAAAATATACATACCGAAATATACATATACGACATAAATGTTTCTCTAAATATATATCGTGAAATATTTACATAAATTTATCTAAAATGTTATATTAACTAATGAAATATTATATTATTATTTTTGTAAATCAGTAGCTTTAATAATAAGAATTAATTAGAATCAAATAATGAGATGAAACACAAAGGAATAATGCTTCTCTTTGTAAAAATTATCGTAATTTTAATTGTAAACGGATTTGTTTCTATAATATTTCAAATTACTTTGTTTTTTTACTTGTCTAATACAATAATAATAATATTCAAATTTTATTAAAAGCAAATACTTATATTCTTAAATACATATTCTCTTTATCTAAAAAGTTCTTTTTAATATTATGTCGTTAAATATATCACATGAGTGTACAATGAAATTTTCCAACATATTTGCTTACATCCGGGTATTTCCTATTTCAACATGCTGCTGTAAACTTTCCAGGAGAAAGTCAGATACATATTGATTCAAGCGAAAAACGGAGCATCTTTATTTCGTTTATATTTCGTGGAAGGTGAATGCCGGCCTTTCAATTTCTGTATCCAAAATCTCGTCTACAGTATATTTTTTCTTTGGTCTCAAAATCATAACGATGAGAAAGATAGCTGTGCAATTATATTCTTCAATTATATTTGTCACGTTAATAACAATAGTCAATTTGATATCTGGTACGTATTATGATTTACAAATATATTTTAACAATTTATATTAAAAAATTAAATATAAGATTAAAGTTGTCATTATCTACTTATAAATAAACACAATTAACAATAATGACAAAAATATACACAAAAAGTGTATACTGTTTTAATAATTTATTTTTTTCTGATGTCATCTACAATTATTATTAATTAAGCTGTTATACTATTTATATTTTTATTATTAAATTACAATATTAAATTATGAAGAATACAATAAGATATTTTTAATCCGATTATGCGATTAGATCTTTTAATACATTCAATATAATTTTATTTGCTGTGCCATCTTCAGCGAATTTAACGGCTATTATGGTGAATCATGGTCCATGGACAGAAATTCTCGAAAATTGGATTACCCTTCCAAGGCACCAGTTTAACAATTCTCGTGTCATACGAGCGATGAAGATTGATGATAAGATTTTGACAGTGTCTAAAATCTCTCCATCAAATAAAAGAGATGTTTCTGAAACTGATCTTTACTTACTTAGTATGATTTATAAGATATTTAAAAAAATTCAAAAGAAAAAAAATCAATTTAATAATTTTAATTTTTAATATAACTTATAAATAATTACAACAATTACATAATTAAAGAAAAAAATTTTATAATAAAAAAATTA